CGTTAATGAGACGCCCCCACGAGCTGCACATGCATTAATTTCTACCCCATTCTTTTCCATTCCGCGACACTTTTATTTTCGGCTTCGTTATGACCGTCGCCGCCGCGACCTTACGTCCCATTCATTCGATCTTGCTCGTCCTCCTTTTTCTTTTTAATCATTTCCTTTTCTCTTTCGATTCTGCGCGGAAGCGAGACCAGCTTTTCTTCTGCCCAAATCAAACTCCCTTGCCGATATTTTAATGACGTGAATGATTAAATGTCGTCACGTGTTTTTTTCTTCTTTTTCCTTTTTTTTATTTCTGCGCAGTGTGACGCGCGAAGGGATTAAAAAACTACGGAAAATCTTGTTGCTAAACCTATATGAAATTGATTTGCACATCCATATCAATAGTGCGTGAATCATTTGACAAGATATTCATGGAATTGATGCTTACAGCACGTCGCTTCAATTTGGGCTTTAAATGATTGATTTGTTTGCGTGCAATGTTATTTTCACAAGTGAAGTATTGGTTTCTTAATGTAATATTTCATTCTTCGGTTAATATGCAGTGATTTCTAGTGTATTGTGTCTATTCATCCATTTCGGTTTATTAATTACCGACACCGTGCAGTATTGCTTATTAATAATCAATCATGGCATATGGACATTACACACGAACGCAATTTCCATTTTAACTCATTGTGCCATTTGCTTAATCGACTTAGTCACATATCATAACGAGTGGATGCTTTCGTTATTTGACTCAGTTCATTAGTCACTATTGCTAGCGTTAATTGTCACTAATGTACTCCTTGACAATGATGCATACTTGGGTATAACTATCAATAATACTTTCTCGATTGTGTCAAATATCGAAATCATTTTGAGGTTTGACGTTTGAAATCAAATTTTCATGTTACGTTATCCTCAACTGTAACGAAACGTTCAACTGAAGGAACGTGCAGAATTTTTATAGGAAATGGCTTTCGGCTAATTTTTTTGAAACTTTGTAAAACGATAATCCTAAACACGTCAAAGTCGAACATTTCTACCTATATCTTTATAGCGGAAGCAGTCAAGTGATCAGTTGTGAATAACTCAATTAACAGGCGATTTTGATCAAACAAGAGGTGTTATATAATGTATTCATTCTATATTACGTAAGATTTAGAGCAAATAAGTTATCATAAGACTACGCTTTCAGGTGTAGATGAATACACTTGTTGATACATCCCTTCAATTTCTTGTTCGATGAATGAGTTAGTAAATAATTGTTTCTACTCCAAGACTCTTTCTCAAAGAGCATTTCTATTTGCAGCATCTAACGTGGTATTTAATAAGGATTCATTGGGATACTTGACACAGTAAATCTGACAATGTGAATCCAGTATATTCGTGATTTGATTATCTGAATGATAGTCACGCGATTAGCTGTTTTGTGGTGTTATATATATATATATATATATATATATATAGTCTGTTACGCTATTCTATAATTTGCAGCCTGATATTTTATATTTTGATATTCGCTTCGTTCGGGCGTAAACGCCACACAAAACAAGAATCTACTTTCCCGCACTTGTATCGTAATGTACTACTTCAACACACTGTGCGAAAAGTACGATTTTGCCTCACACTCACCGCAAAGTGTCCGCTTGAATTCGTACTTCCCACACGTTGTTTTGAACCATACCGCAAAGAGCTTCTCGACTAGTTAATGTACGATATGGTTCCGATGTTTCGACATAATCAATGACTGAACTTACATTTTGTCTGCTAAACTGATCAAAAATAATTTTCAAAGTCATAGCTCAATCTTACACAGCAAAATCAATATATCTTTCCTATGAATCTCAATTTTCCGTTTTGTACTACTAGTTCACAAAAAATTGAAAGTTCTTCAAACCATTGCTTATTGATTGATGATAAACATTTAAAATCATTATCATTTAAGTTATCGTAGTCAATTCCTTTACCCAATTCCAATACCATATTTCTCATTCAAGTTCTAGTGGGTCGATGGAAACCCTCTCATTCAAGTGATGTCTACAACTACGTACGTTCTCCGGTATAAAAATGTTTTTCTTTATAAACTCTTGACTTCTGCATTTTAAAGATAATCTGAGGATGTCATTTTGCGTATTGCAAATCCAAGATGCTGTTTGCGTAAGAACGTGTAATCGCATACAGGATGGGTCTGCATCTATATTAAAGCAATCTCAGCAACTATTAACTGTTTATAATAAACCCAGATATTTTACTCTGCTATCCTCGAAAGGACCGTAGAATAAACTACCCTGGCACAATATCAACATGAATACTAAAGTATCTTCTCTCTAATCTTAACGCATTAGTAAAAAAATGCATGCATATATGTATATCCTCAATCTAACTGTTTATATCCGGAATGAATGTTATATGCGCGTGTGAGTGTATGTGTGTACATCTATATAAATAATAAGTATACCGATATAAATAATAAGTATACCCCCCCCCCCCTCTAGACACATACGCATACCTACATATCTCCGATGAAAACATCATTCCTGTGCTTACGCTATACAGCATATGGATAAAAAAGTTCGACTTTCACAGACTGTAGTTTTTAAACTGAGATCCTTGGAGCTTTGGGCCTACGGAGACTTGTTATTCTACGTGTTAAGCACTATCATTTTAAAAAGTTTCAAAAAAATTAGTCGAAAACCATTTCCCATAAGAATTCTGTGGTATTTTTTTAATGAGAAAGTAGAATTATTCAAAAGTACATACACTTGTATTTTCTCTTTGACATAACTTTTATATCAAGATTAAAAAAAAGTTCTTCAACGTGCTAAATAATATAATACGCATCGTATGAAAATTACTCTATTATAGATATATATAAATAGAGTTATACTGCTAAAGAACTTCTTGTCATTTTTAAGAGATAAATGTTGGGTTTTATTGTAAAATAAAGTAAATCTGTTTGCAAAAATATTTTTCTGGAAAAAAAATATTTACGTTTATTTATACATGATTATATTGTAACAGGAGGAGAAACAGATTGAAAAAACAATGATTATGATTATAGATAATATATATTTCATAACAAACCTGCATAATATGATTGATCGGTATTGCGCATTATCGAGACTAAAATTTATTTAGCATGAGTCTTCGCCGACGATTGATTTTGACCACCCAAGATAATATATTGTAAATAGGCTCCCGACTGAAAACTATTAGATCATATCACAGTTAGGATCTCATCTGCGAATGTGACATGTATTATAAAATCTCTTCTGAAAAAGTGTTGTAAAATCTCTTCAGAAACCTCATTGTCCTTGGGCCCATGAAAACAATTTCCGCTGACTGAGATCTCACTAGAGATTTTATCGTTTCGTGAGTTTATAACTGAAATATCAGAGTATTTCACTCAACGTGAATGGCGCTCTAAAGTATTGTATGAAATTTCAGAATCATAAACACAAGAAATTCGGAGATGCAATCTAAATTGAGATCTCATCTGACGGTTTTCAGTAGGACTAGGCGGACAGAATCAATCGTTGGCGAATATACAAATGATATAATTCCATTTACATAATAGAAATAAAAATAAAAATTTCGCCTTTTCTCTATTGTTATTGATTATCAAAACTGTATTTTCTTCTGGAGTCACATGCGTTTTCACCTGTCGTATATATCGCTTATCCATATATATCTAATATAAAAGAAATCAGTCTTAAGAATAATACAACGGTTGTTGAATAAGGCAGCTGATCGTTCATTATTATTTACATTTTTGTGCTGATATATATATATATAATGTATTCATATAAGTTTTTTATGATGACTTGAGTGATAATGTAAAAAACTGACATGGGTATAGGCGTAATTTTATAAAGGCCACACAGTTATTTCAGACACCCTTTGATTTTTGCACGGAGTCTTCACCTTTTCTTAACTTTTTTTTATCAATTAACAATAATTTTTCTAAACAACTACTACAATCATTAAATTGATTCTATATACCGTCAATCATATCTTAAAACGCTAATTAAAATCTAAAGTGCAAATGGCTATGCCATAAAAACATTTAACTATTCTTGTCCACTGTTTTGTGTTCACATTAACAATATTGGGAAGCATTAAGTTCAAATGATATTTTCTCCCTTGAGATCAAGAACGATTTTTCACAACTAAAGCTGTGCAATCTTTAAACTAAAATTTCGTGTTTAAAGAATAAACAAAATCGTTAAATTTCCTTTTTATGCTCGTACGATCGTTATCTTGAATAAATAAAGATACGGCTACGAAAAAAAAATTATGTAAATTTTTAAACTAGTATTATTGTTATTAATTGATACATTAATTGGTATTCTTAGTCGTTGACGGAATAAGCGCAAAAAACAAGTACAGTTCGTATCTCCACGTCGTGGTTTATAACGAAAAAAATAGCAACCTTGAATCACATTACGGTGCAGGTACAACATCAACTTTACATTTCTATAATATAACATAATCTGCTTGTATATAGCTATGGTAACGATATGGAGACTTACAGTGAAATAGCATCATTTTTATGACTTTTGTACTAAGGTTCGAGGTAGCTTTGTTGCGCAATGAACGTGTGTCATGCACTCTCTTGACCTTCAATCTTATTCGTAGCGAACTTGATACATATTTTATTATATAAATATAAATATAAATATATGTTTATATATATATATATAGATATATAGATTTTAAGTGTAATATGGGTTTAGACAAACATATGTATAGCGCTGTAACCGCACTTGCGTGGAGGCTGCGTAAAAATGAACGCATGGACTCGCATAAATCTCTTCCATTAATACGTACGTTTTATCATTGGTGAGCCGTTGTACGGGCGCCTTATACCTAAACATTTATTCGCAGGTAATGTTCTGTCATTAAGATTATTCTATTCTATTATTCTTTTCTCGCTCTACTATTCAATCTTACCTAGTAGCTTATATGCTTATGAATAATTTTAATTTAGCTTCTGAATTTCTATTTGAAAGTATATATAATAAATCTGAATATAATATTAAGGTCTTCAGCATCTATCGCAGTACAATCTATTTTAATTAAAATTCTAATGATCCTAAGCCAGCCATCAAAAAGTTACTTAAGTTCTAAACTAATAAAGTCCTATAAATAACAAACACGAAATATGTTTGCTTAACAGTAAGTGGTCTCGTCGACTATCTATAGCTATTTCTTATATTATTGAGGTCCTGTCAGTCAGTCTTACTGAAATAAATGGTAACCAAGGTTTGCTAATTTCAGCGATTCACACTGTTAGAGGTAGTTTCGTTGTTGCATAGCATTATCTTATTAATATTAATTCACATAACTTTCCTTTTGCCTATCTTTTTTTTTCTTTCTTTGCGATCGTTCTGGCATTATTGCATCTATTTCCCAGAGCCGCGTTTTATATGTTTCGATCGGCACGTATCTATATATCAGGATGTGTGGCATATTATTATCACTATAACAAATTAACATTCGATAATTCAAAAAGCCTTCATATTGAAACTATTCTTAATGCTAATATAGTATGCTTATGATTAATACTAATAATAATTGGAGAAATAATAATACGAAAAGTTGTTACATATAATATGTTTACTCATGCGTCAAGAATTAAATTTTTCCACAACGTCAAATGTAATGTCATAACGTCGTGTGGAAACATTTATTAAAATGATTAGCTTGTTCCGATATTTCTATACAGAAACTTTCCTACATAATTTGTACTGTTTAGTGCCTGCTGGCGGCGACACCTATAAACTAAAAAAATAGAATGATTTTAACCTTAGAAAATAATTTCTTTTCATTTACAGATTTGCGCAAACGATCGCGAGCAAGATATCAAATGCTACGAGATGAAACGTTGAAACAATCAAAGTCGACGGGCGAAAGTCTTTTTCAGCAGTGTAGCTTGAACATTTATGAATTAAACATTTATAAATTTAGACTTCGCGGGGACATTTCGACCTTTCAACGCTTTAATTATGTGATATCTCGTATATATTCGTCTGACGATTGATTTGCGAAATCCTCAAGTACAATTGATGTTGAAAATTGCATTATTGTATCACCCAAGTGCAAAAATAAAAGCAAAACGATACTATTTTGTGCGCCCTTTAGACATAAATATTTCAAATTGAGCCTCTATCACGCAAAGACCGCCCAAAAAGAACAGAAATTAAAACCTCGAATCACAATAAAATTGGAAAATCAAAAATAATAATAATAAACTTGATGTATATAATAAGTTCGCCACCTACGACATGTGTCGGGGTACTCGTTCCGTAAAAAAAAAATGAATAAAAAAATAAAGAAAAAATTAAAAAAAATTAAAAAAAAGTTGAAACATTTGATAATATAATAAAAAGAGTATCATTCGATATCACGCGTTCAGAGGGGTCAAAAAAAGAAAAAAAAAAGAAAAAAAAAACAAACAAACAAACAAACAAACAATCAATTATAATCGAAGTTTTAAAACTTTTTGCAAGACTTTTCTCGTATAAAAACTCAAACAAATAAATATAAACTCTAAAAGTTTTCAGAAAAAAAAGAATAAGAATCGAAACGAGTTCTTGGCAACACGATGATCATCGATAGAAGGCTCAGTCTCTCGATCACTGTCGCAGCGTGTGTCTTAGTCTAGGCCGGTGTTAATTATTTGCCTCTCCGCAGCCACGGCGTCGTCGACGCTAATCGTCGACGTCGCCGATAGGTGATGGGTTAAATCGATTGTCAAGAAGCGGTACGGAGATAGATAGAGGACACACAGTCTCGCTCGATCGCAATTACAACGACAATAGGTAGATCGCGGGTCTCGAGTTTCTCTCGCCCATTCTCTTCGCGCTCGCACGGCGTGCACAGCAGAAGGCTTTTTCCAATTGAGAGCCAGTGAGGAAAGAGCGAGAGAGTGGAGGGAGGGAGGAGAGAGGGACGGAGAAACTTGGCAAGGGGCAATCTGAAATCCGATCATTGAGTTGGTCGTCAAACTTGGATGCGCAAGATTTGAGAGGTTGCGCTCGTTCCCCGGTTCTACCTACCACGGCAGCAACCACGACTACATCTAGTGCTGGCGTTGAAGTTGTTGAACTACGATGGAACTCGTTACGACTGGTCTTGCTGCATGCTCGGCTCGTCCTCTTGCTTGATCTCGAGTGCGGCCACGGACGGCAGGATCATGCTCTGACCGCTGGATCGACGACTGCCGACCGACAAGTCCTCTGCGCCATCCACGTTGCTGTTCGGCGTGGCCGCGACGTTGCCGGTCGGCGCGTCCATCTCGTCGAGACTGGCGCGGCTCGAGGGCGTCCGGGCCAACGAGCCCGGCGTGACCGCGCCCGTTGCCTGATGGGCCTCCGAGGCGTAGCCGGTGCCGGGGTCGCTCTCGGTCTCGGACGCGTTGTTGGCAGAGCCGCCGGCGGCGCTGGTCGTCCCGGGCCCGTACACGCTTCCGTTCAAGCTACTCGAGTAGGGAAACCGAGCGCTGCT